GGTAGATATTATAAATAAGAAATAAAAACTAGTGAGATACAAATAAATAGCCATTATACAGATTTTAACTTAATTCAGAGCAGAGATATTTCATACTATGGCAATCAGAGTACAGTTCCTATTACTCATACCATAGAGGGTGTAGCACATGTTTACTTTTACTTGTGATAACATATCTGATAATTGTATTTAACAGGTGAATATGTATCTATTTCATGGTATCTACTGCTAAGATTCAGTTAATAATCTCATACTTCAGATAATTATATATATATACATATAACTGTATTCATTATTGAAATCAAAACTTTATTCATATAATAATATTAATATTTCTGCTTGAAGCTGTGAGAAATGATAACATATACTATGATTTCTTGAAAAAGTTCATTAAAGTTGTTTGCTTTGTGCTTCTTTTCCCTTTTGGTTCAGGATGAGATTCAGGTGGTACTGACTTCTTCGGCACCACCTCTGGTTCTTCTTCAGAGCAACTTTCATAAACATGCACCTTTTTGGTAACCAGAAACCCATCCTCTTCAAAAGTTTTATCTACCATCTTTAAAACCCTGCGTTTTCCATCCTCATGTTTAACTTTTGGTGGAGATGGAGAAAGCTTTTTGACAGGTAAAACTTTTTCCGGAGAAGGTGAAGATGGAATGTTTTCTTCATTTTCATCAGATGATCCAGATTCTTCACTGGAATCACTCTGTATAGCAATACGTTTCCGTCTTTTAATATTGGTATTAATATCTTTACTCCTATTGCGCTTTTTCCCACGTGTACTTTTCTTTTGATTAGTTTGTTTCTCAGAAGTAATTTTTTCCCTTACACTTTCTTTTACTACAGAATTTGTAATTTTCTCAGGCTCTGAAGATACCGAATGTTCAGGTTTTACTTCGTTCTTGACTTGCTGTAGAAAGCTATTGAGTCCACCTTTCTGGGTGTTCCTTTTAGATGACTTAGACATATCTTTTTTGGGTGATTGTTTTGTTTGCTTAGAAGAATTCGTTTTCTCTGATTTAGAAAATAATGCTGAGGGTGGACTCTTCTGTTTATTAACAGCTTTCCCAAAAAGGTTATTAAAACCTTTCTTTTGATCATTTTTATTCACATCATCTAATTTTTTCTCTGGACTCTTTCCTTCTTTTTCCTTATTAACTTCAGGTGCAGACGTTTGTTCATGAGAGACCGATGGTATTTCTGCTGCAGCAGCACCCCAACGTATGGCATGCATTTCCTCAGCACTACGTTTATTATTTTCAAGGAACTTGATACCACTATATTTAACGTCTCCATCTTCAGCCAGTCCTAATGTCTGTATATCAGGAAGTGCTTTCTGAAGACTATAAATATGTTCGGATATAATTGCAGTAAATTTATCTTTCGCCGGTGCTAAATCTTTTTCCTTTATGACTTCAATGCGTATACCGCCATCCTTTAAAGTACCCATTAATAAGAAAGTGCAGTCAAAAGTCTTCTCATCCTTTTTCTGTTGCCAGAATTCCCATAAAATCTGTTTGGCAATGTTTACGTGAACTTCTAGCTCTTTACTTAACCATTTATATGTTACCTATAAATTGAAAGTTAAAGTAAAACGAAGTATAATTTTGGATTCCAAAGTAGTATAATAATATAGTATAATAGTATAATTTTGGATTCCAAAAAAGAACATTCTAAAATTTTATCAAATTAATATACATAGAAAAAAATGAAAACAGAAGTTAACAGAAAATAAGGGCAGTAAATGGTAATTAATGTATTTACCAGCTTATCATTATCGAATATATATTCATCCACGGTTTCTAAATATTTGTTTAATGATTCCATGATCATATTTGATTCGATTTGATACAAAGTTTATTAATAGGATTACTGGTTACCATCAGTTACCACAACCTTTTGAACCTTTCCCTTGAACAAGTGCGCGCCATTTAGCGTTCAATATTGCCAATAGTTGTGAAATGGTTACTATGATGTGAAAGTTAAAATAATTTGCAATTGCAAAAATTACAATGTAAATTAATTACAATGTATGCATAACTTCTTTTTACAATAAATCGTACATATATTCTGAATATTCGTATTGCAAAATCGCTCGTTAAAAAGTTGATATTGATTAACAAATGTTCAAGAATTTAATTTTTTTAATAACAAGTCATAAAAGTTGGAACTTCCAATTCATTGATGTATCTCTGATTAAAATTTATAGAAAATTCTGAAGTTTCGCAGCGGTTTATAGTTTGCTAGATACAATCGTATATATGATGGTGGCAACACTAAGATTGGTGAAAACTTTTTTCGGAACGTAAATCTTGCCAGATGAAACAGTGAGCGTTCACGTAACAAACGAACTCGGTTCGACGATTCCTCGTGGTAATCGGTCAATTGATTCAGGATTTTTGTGAGTGAACGTTGTGATTCCTTTATGTAAAAGCGAAAGGAAGAAAGTATGGTCTCGGTGATGCAGCCGTTCATGGTAAGCATACAACATCGGGAAAGCGTAGGTGTTACCGGTTTCCTTCTGCTTTTGACACTCTAAGCTGGTTTTCTCGTTTCTGTTATGAAATTCTAAAAGATACGTGACTGTCTGATTGTGTGACAGGATGTGGAGAGCTCCAGAAGTTACATCGATGAACTGTACTCGCCAGATCCCCAGAAATGTTTGGAAGCTATTATGTGAGTGAAAATTTCACTTAACCTCTACGTTTGTCTGTTTGAATCTTTTACTTCTTCGATATGTATAAAAGTAATGACTATTTTTTGATTATAAGTGTTCGTTAAATATATACAATCGGCATAATATCGAATGATGTGCTTTCTGTTATTTTGTACACTATTTTCTTAGTTTTCTTTAAGACAAGTTGATCATGGCTAGACTAGACTATTGACACAGTTTTAAATTGTTTATGGATTCAAGAACTTTATTCCTAAAAAACTGTGTACTATATGTAATGAAATGGATGGAACTAAAAATTTAATATTATACGAATACATTTGATGTAATATACTTTGTTGTGTGTCAAAAAAGTTTGCAGTTTTTATAACACATATCTATATCTGTTTTATATCATTATTCTCAGTTATAATTGATATCTTTAAGTATTATATTTTATATCTTTCCTGCCCATCGGCATTTATTTTTATTCGCATGTCTCTATTTTACAGATGCCTAAAAAATTCAGTCATTGGTAGCAATAGACAAAAGGGTTCAGTAATTGCTCAAGGAGTAGTACCTAGATTATTGCAACTGCTTGGAGATTCGTCAGGCACTATTGAAGATCGTATAAGACTTGAATCTGCTGTGACATTAGGTTCTTTAGCCAAAGGAACGGATCAACATGTATTGGCACTTATAGATCTTGGTGTAGTGCCATTGCTTTTTCAGGTTTTATTATCTACACCAGCTTCAGACACACCTCCAGAAGGAAAGCCAAAAGTAACGGATTTGTTACTTGAAGCATGTTTACGATGTTTACGTACAGTATTTCAACATCCAGCAGCACCAGTTCATTCGATATATCAAGATCCTGCATTGGTGCCTAGATTAGTATCATTAGCAAATCGATCTGTAACTTCTCAAATTTGTGTAGCAACAATTTTAACAACAGCATGCAAGGTAAATAATTTAAAATTGTCTAATAATACGGAATAATAATTGGTATTATTTCTACTCAGACAACAGAAGAACAAAATGCGTTATCAGAAGGGGGCGCAGTAAGAATATTAGCAATGCAATTGGATTCCCCATTACCTGATGTACAATTATCAGCTTTGGCTTGTCTAGCGAATATGTGTTATAAGAACTACAGGGTGTGTGTTATGGTTGCCTCTGCATCTACCAGTAATACAGTACAAGGTAGACATGTACCTGTAGCGCTAGGACAATTAATGGGCCGCGAGAAAAGCTCGTTAATTCAACTTGAAGCTGCCAGATGTGTTACATACATGAATAGAACCGGAGTTCTATTGTGCAAAGATCCCAGAATTATTTATCGTGCTTTACCTTGTTTGGTGAGACTTTGTTATCGGGATCGTCCGCCACGTGAAAGGGTAGCCGCAGCAGAAACATTAGCTTTCCTTACCGAGGTCAATACCGAATTACAACGTTTAGCTTCTATTAGTAATCATTTAATTCCCACACTTGCAGAATTGTTACGGCCTCACCCACATGTAAGTCCAATTCATTATGAATGTATCACTTTTATATCTTTGACGTTATTTACATTTTTAGGTACTAGACGCAACCTTAACACAGGACATGCGACAAGCTGCATTTAGGGCATTCGCATCTCTTAGTGCAAATGACGAAGATATTCGAAAGCGTATCATAGAAAAGGAGAATCTCATGGAACAGGTAGTGTCAGGTCTTCAAGATCCTGGAGCCCATGTACGTCTAGCAGCGGTTCGATGTCTACATTCACTCTCTAGAAGCGTTCAACAGCTACGAACAAGTTTTCAAGACCATGCTGTCTGGAGACCGCTTATGCAGTTGTTACATGGAGCAGATAAGGGATTGGAGGGTAAAATATAATACTACCTTTATCAATTGTTCCAATAACGAAATTGTGTGTCATATAGAACGAACCACATAATTAATAATTAATATAATTGTATTATATAGGGAGAGGCGAAAGTGAAATTGATTTATTAACTGTTGCCTCGAGTACTTTATGTAACTTATTACTGGAATTTAGTCCAAGCAAAGAACCAATTCTCGAATCTGGGGGAATAGAGTTACTATGTTCACTAACGAAACGGTGCACGCCAGCCTTACGATTAAATGGAATTTGGGCATTGATGAATGTCGCTTTCCAAGCTGAACAACAAGTAAAGTTACAGATCTTATCATGCTTGGGTACCGATCAAATTTTTTGCCTTCTAGCTGACCAAGATATACCAATTCTAATGAAGACACTGGGTCTGTTACGAAATTTACTGTCCACAAGCGTCCACATTGACCGTATAATGGGTGAACATGCTGCACACGTAATGCAAGCCGTTATATTGGTTCTAGAAGATCCAAGACACCCAGCAGATGTAAAAGAACAAGCACTCTGTATTTTGGCGAATGTGGCCGATGGCATTCGAGCGAAGGATCACATTATGGCTAATGAAGATGTGCTTAAGAAACTTATGGATTATATGGTGCGCTGAAAAACTTTGTTTTTTACAATATTTAAGCTTTTATTTTCAACCTTTTTCTTTATTAGAATAGTGTAACATTGTTTTAGTGATTTCTGGGCTTTCTGTAACTTAATCAGTATTCTAGTCTAGAAAACCTTTCCCATTGGACTTTTGTGTACACTTTCGTTTATGTTTTAACAAAATCTGAGCTTGCAATAAGGAATCTGATACATCCGCGAAAAAAGCAAGTATCTACCATTGTTGAAAGGAATTCGAATCGGTACTAGAATTAAGTAAAAAGACTGTAAATGAAAAAAATGACTATATTTGGAAAACTGAGTGCCAAAATTGTCTTCCAGGTTTCAAAACAATATAACTGTTTTAGGTACACATTTTAGAGACTATAGCTTCTAGATTAAAATACTTCGTTAGAAAGTTATAATTAATTAACAGTAAATTGAAACGACAATACCAGTTTATAGATATTTTGATATTGATATTTAGATGCATAACAATATAAAGCTGCAAGTTGCAGCTGTGCTGTGTGTGTGCAACCTAGTCTGGAAAGAAGAACCTGGAGCTGCGCAGCGGCAAGCACGTTTAAGGGAATTAGGCTTTTATCGTATTTTACAACAATTGCGGCATACCAAGGAACTTCAATTATTCGATAAGTAAGTCTAGAGGCTATTATTCAGTTTTATATCTTTTCTTCATCCTTTAAATGTGATTGTGGGTTGATTGTTCCGTGAGATTACAGTAGAGTAATCCATTTTTATGAAAATATTTACTCTTTAACGACTTCTGATTGTTTTCATTTCAGGGTCAGAACTTGCATGGCACAATTCTATGATGCCTAAACTGCAAAACACATTACTGACGCAAATTAGGTTTTGATTTAGAGTTCTTTTATACTTGAAATACAATTATATTTTGGTGTTAACTCTGTGATCCTGTACTATGTTAATGCATAAGCATTTTATATTTATATAGAAAAAAAATACAAAAACGATAATCCCCGACGATGTAATCTGTTTATATTGTATGTATTTTTTAATTTAAATAAGAAAACGGTATTGAACGTTTCTGTATATTTAAAAGGAACAAAAATGTATGTAGCACATATAATTAATTACTTCACAAATTTTCAAAACACGAGTCGCCCGATGATGACAATGATATCAAAAGTGATCGTATGAAGAAAGATTTGAATCGTGAAGTAATAACAAATTACAAATATTTGTATGATATATACTTTTAACTTCAACGATTATATTTTATTATAAATATAAGTAGGAAAGTTGATAACTCTATTTCTTATCATGAAGCAATATTTGTAATGTATTTAAAAGAAGTATTTGACTAGCACACTTTTACAAACTATCAGATTTTACATCTTTGGTACACAGCTTGAAAAGATACTTACGAAATTGAAATACTTTTGATTCTTATCAGCATACTTTTCTTTCTTATTATCCTTATCAAATCTAACACACCAGGAATGTTAAGTTTCAAATAATAAGTACGAAATATTAATGTAAATGTTCGGAGTGGTATAATGCTCCTAATATCATCTTATTTGATAAAAAATAAAATCATCGTCTCTTCCGAATGTTGCTGCGAACTGCAACTATTCATGTATCACGGTAATAGAATGTAAGTGCTTTTAAAAAATTTAAGCGGATGCGTTACTATCACTGGAAAGCTTTTCCATTGGATTGCTAGCCAATGGATCCAATTCAGCGAACAAATCCAACCAAGAATTTCCTTTTTGTTTTCCAGTCTTCTGCGATTTATTTTTCTTCTACAACAAACGTAAATAACACTTGTCACAATTGTCTTTCCATAACATGAACAACTGTTTTGTAAAATAAAATATTGTTCTTCTAAATGTTAAGATTATAATAAAACAAAGAAATCATCAGTTAGTAATTGATATCATAAATCGTTACTTACTTTGTCATCCATGCTGTTTGTGGGCATGGTTGTCTGACCTATGCCAAGTGCTGCATCACCTAAACTTTGTTTTAGGATATTGGGCGGTAAAAACGTATCGGTGGCTATTGCATCCCATTCGTTACCAATGTTTTGTTTATCACCAAGTATATCATTTAAGAGAGCCAAGTTTTCAGAGGTAAGAGATTGTAACGATTGTTCTCCTTGATCTTGTGATTCTAAGGAGCACAAAGTACTCAGATCGAAATTCGTATCAGATTTATCAAATATATCCAATTCCAGATCTTTTTTCTCCAAACTTTTTTCTAGTTTCAATTGATTTTCCTCTTGTGTATTGTTACCAGGTTGTGACACATTGTTGTCTAAAATTAAGTTGTCGAAAAGTTGATGAAGATCCTCCTTACGCTCTGTATTAGAATCTAACTGAACGATTCCATTCTTTGAAGAACCAGAACTTGTTTCTAATCCATCCAATTCAAGTATATCTTTTGTGTCACCCTCGATGTCCAGTAGTTTTTCATCTTGTTTGTTGTCATTTGTATTTTCTGTGGCCGGTTTTACTTCTTCAGCTTCTTCTATGCTATCATGATAGTCCATGTCAAAAAATGGTAATCTATGGCAAAATATATATTATCAGCCAGTTTATAGAATTATTATTTTTAACAAACTTGCAACTTACTTGTCTTTGTCATCAGGATCGTCGTCTCCACCAGTTTCTTGAGCCAATTTAGTAGATGTCTCAGCGAGTTCTCTTACAACCATGAAATCATATCGCTGATATCCTTTGAAACTTGTTGCAATTGTTGAGTATGCTTGTGCTGATTTTTTGGTGAAATTTAAAAGTGTGCTTTGGTATAAAACTAAAGCATGGCTGAACATATTGCATCTTGCAGCTGCTAGAAGATCTACTTTTTGGAGACAATCTAAGGCTAAGTTATCAAATGCCACTTTGCCCCTGTATTCAGATAGGTATAGTAAATATAATTGTATCTAAATGTATATAAAAATCAGTATAAATAGCAAATAGTACATACAATCTGACACGTGTTTGTACTTTGCGAAATTTTTCCAATTGTTTTGTTGTATCGGGGTCCAATTCCTGAGAAACATTTTTCATCCATAATAATGCTGCTCTATATTCTGTACGAGCTTTTTCCATTGCCTGGACATTCTGTAGCGTATCTTCAATAGCTCTCTGTCTAAAAGTTTCTACTTCTTGATACAATCGACCTAATGGAGCTCTTAGAGCAAGTCTTTGTTGACTAGAATAAGACAGTGATTTTCCAACTGCCGACATCATTTTGCCAGCTCTAGTTTTATCTTGTTTACCAGCATCTTTGAGAAACCTTCCCATTGCATTCTCTTCTTGCGCAAGATCTATTAAAAATTTTACAAATCAATAGATTGTGTTCCTAATTAATACATATTCCCTGTAAGTATTATGTTTATTTTTATAAAAACTCACTGCATAATCTTTCCTGATATTTGTCAATTACTCTCTGCAAGTAAGAACAAGATTCTTGTATGCTACGAAACAATTCTAGTTTCGCATCTAACTCTGCATCGGATGCTACTATACATTCGTCTTCCTTTTTTCCTAACTTTCGCGATAGAGTCTGCTTTGTGACCCAGAACTGATGTTGCATTTTTGTGATGGCAGAATCATCATGCATATTGGTCCTCTGTACCCAACAATTGAAACCATTTCCTGATACACCTGGTACGTTCCTATTACTAATAATTGCATATGTATATATTTGAATTAATCTTCAATAGATATTTCTATCTACGAAAAATATGGAAGTGAATACATAATGCAATCTCATAGTCGTTTAAATGCGTAGGAAACGAGTTATCTGTTACGTGCGATAAGCGAATATTGTGTTACATAAATTAGGGACGCTATGATATCGGATTTAAACATTGTTTTAAATAACAATAACACTTACTAAGAAGTCATGATGGAAGACACTCGGATAAAATGTAAATTTATGGTTAATGATTGCAATTCGAAGAAACTTGAAAGACTTTTAAATAAGATTCGCGATGAAATGAACGATATGCAAGTATCATATTTCCCTAACGCACACTATTGCCACTTTAGAATCATTTAAAAGATATCAAGTTTAATATTGAAAAGAACACAAGCACATACTTTCACTGTCAACCTGACAGATCGAGGTAACGACTTGTACATACGTTATATATATATACACATGTACGTATCGTAATTTACTTTTACTAGAACTTGCCGTGATAGGAACTATGTACATATACCATATTTGATTAGATGCGAAACTCCGGTGTTTTTCGAGATTCAATTTTTCAATGTTCGTGCGCGATTTAATTTATTTTCCATAGAAATAAAAAATTAACGTGTAAGGATGTTCGATTACGTGTGCGACAGTATATCTGTAATGTTTCAAATAAAATTTACTTCATGAGATTGTTTTCCTTGGAAAGGAAATATTTTACTATTTTTTCGATTGATAGCATTGTAAGCAATGGAGATGAAGTTGTCCACAATGACACGCAGTTTGTATCCTGAATCAGAATTTCCGGTAGGAGTTTCGCATCTATTATAAAAATCCTCTATGTGTGTGTATCGAGCTTAAGCATTGTGCAAATATATGTAATTGAGAACAACAACACAAGTTTTAAATAATATATTACTTTGTTTGATTAGATGTTATTTTGAAATATATATGATTAATATAATATATATTAATCACATATACATATTATCATATATAATAATAATAATCATATAAATATTATTATATTATTATTATAATCATATAAATAATAATAATCATATATATATTAATATAATATGATTAATATATCATTTATATGATTATATATTATCATATATATATGAGCCGTTTATTTTGAAAGTGGCGTAAGTCACTTCACCGTAATGAAAAGTGGTGATTTTTTAATGTTTATACGAAATTATTTATACTGTGGAAAATATCAGTATCCTGAGATAACAAATACAAGTAAATCTTCTCGAAAGTTAGCATCCATATTTTTAAACGTGTTAAAACGCAAACCCTTAATTATATCGACTTAAACACAAAGTAACTTATGCCACTTTCAAAATAAACGGCTCATATATATATGATAATATGCTGTCTCTTATACACATCTAGATGTGTATAAGAGACAGCTTTTCATTACGGTGAAGTGACTTACGCCACTTTCAAAATAAACGGCTCATATATATATGATAATATGCTGTCTCTTATACACATCTAGATGTGTATAAGAGACAGCTTTTCATTACGGTGAAGTGACTTACGCCACTTTCAAAATAAACGGCTCATATATATATGATAATATGCTGTCTCTTATACACATCTAGATGTGTATAAGAGACAGCTTTTCATTACGGTGAAGTGACTTACGCCACTTTCAAAATAAACGGCTCATATATATATGATAATATGCTGTCTCTTATACACATCTAGATGTGTATAAGAGACAGCTTTTCATTACGGTGAAGTGACTTACGCCACTTTCAAAATAAACGGCTCATATATATATGATAATATGCTGTCTCTTATACACATCTAGATGTGTATAAGAGACAGCTTTTCATTACGGTGAAGTGACTTACGCCACTTTCAAAATAAACGGCTCATATATATATGATAATATGCTGTCTCTTATACACATCTAGATGTGTATAAGAGACAGCTTTTCATTACGGTGAAGTGACTTACGCCACTTTCAAAATAAACGGCTCATATATATATGATAATATGCTGTCTCTTATACACATCTAGATGTGTATAAGAGACAGCTTTTCATTACGGTGAAGTGACTTACGCCACTTTCAAAATAAACGGCTCATATATATATGATAATATGCTGTCTCTTATACACATCTAGATGTGTATAAGAGACAGCTTTTCATTACGGTGAAGTGACTTACGCCACTTTCAAAATAAACGGCTCATATATATATGATAATATGCTGTCTCTTATACACATCTAGATGTGTATAAGAGACAGCTTTTCATTACGGTGAAGTGACTTACGCCACTTTCAAAATAAACGGCTCATATATATATGATAATATGCTGTCTCTTATACACATCTAGATGTGTATAAGAGACAGCTTTTCATTACGGTGAAGTGACTTACGCCACTTTCAAAATAAACGGCTCATATATATATGATAATATGCTGTCTCTTATACACATCTAGATGTGTATAAGAGACAGCTTTTCATTACGGTGAAGTGACTTACGCCACTTTCAAAATAAACGGCTCATATATATATGATAATATGCTGTCTCTTATACACATCTAGATGTGTATAAGAGACAGCTTTTCATTACGGTGAAGTGACTTACGCCACTTTCAAAATAAACGGCTCATATATATATGATAATATGCTGTCTCTTATACACATCTAGATGTGTATAAGAGACAGCTTTTCATTACGGTGAAGTGACTTACGCCACTTTCAAAATAAACGGCTCATATATATATGATAATATGCTGTCTCTTATACACATCTAGATGTGTATAAGAGACAGCTTTTCATTACGGTGAAGTGACTTACGCCACTTTCAAAATAAACGGCTCATATATATATGATAATATGCTGTCTCTTATACACATCTAGATGTGTATAAGAGACAGCTTTTCATTACGGTGAAGTGACTTACGCCACTTTCAAAATAAACGGCTCATATATATATGATAATATGCTGTCTCTTATACACATCTAGATGTGTATAAGAGACAGCTTTTCATTACGGTGAAGTGACTTACGCCACTTTCAAAATAAACGGCTCATATATATATGATAATATGCTGTCTCTTATACACATCTAGATGTGTATAAGAGACAGCCCTTAAATATATCGACTTAAAAACAAAGTAACTTATGCCACTTTCAAAATAAACGGCTCATATATAATCATGCGTCACTTTATTTGCACGTGTAAATAATTTTTCTCTAGATTTTTATGCTGTCGAATGAAATAGTTCTTTTACTTTATTTCTCGTCTTGTATATTTCAATAAATCTTGACATACATAGATTGCAGTTACAAATTCCCGCCATACAAAATGTACAATGTAGCTGGCGCTGATGTTGAGAGTGTTCGCAGTAGCGCGCGAAACATGTGCGGTCGAGCAGCTTGGTGAGTAATCATGTCGCGGAATTTTCATAATAAGAGCGATTAAGTGATAACACGTGAATTTTATGAACGACGATGAAAATTCATAAATCATTTTACAGTTCCTTGGATCCAGAGAATGTGGGTCGAGCTTGCGATTATAAGGATGGTACCGGCAAGCGTTGTGTCACCGCTTGGACTAAAAGCGATGTCGAATACGTACCATCGTATAACATCGGGCCGAAAGACGTTTTACCGTGCCTTGTCGCCGGATCGCATTTCGGACAAAAAGATGAGAGGGTACTTTGTGCTATGATGTGGAGCATGATTCCCCCCTGGCACGAGGTCAGTGTACATGCATGTACAAGGTTAGGCTAAACGCATGCTTGGTGGGGGAATGTTCACGTGGTGCCATTTAAATCGTCAACAAACGCATTAACGCAACGAACGTTCACGAGATATAAACATATGGACCGCTTATCGTGTCGCAGTATGCGATAACAATGCATTATAGCCAGTCTTTTTATATTTCTTGTTAATTTGTCAACAAGGAAGATATTTTAATCGTGACATGTAAATTTGTCAGGGTGACTATAGGAAACATTCCTTATCAACGCATAATGCACGCCTAGAGAATCTCCAGAGCTCTAAATTATATGCACCGTCGCTCACTCGAGGACAGAGATGCATTGTAATTTGTGAAGGCTATTACGAATGGAAAGCTGAGAAGATGAAAAACAAGCCTAAACAACCATATTACATTTATGCTGCTCAAGAAAAAGGTGTTAAAGTAGATGATCCTACAACGTGGAAGGACGAGTGGTCAGAAACAGATGGTTGGAAGGGAATCAATATTTTGAAAATGGCAGGAATATTTAATAAATTCAAGACAGGAGATGTAGATGTTGCTTCTTAAAATGATTCAGTTATTTACTCTGATGTAGAAGTTGACAATATGTATTATGTTGTAGGGTAAAATAATACACAGTTGTACAATAGTTACAAGAGAGTCTAATGATGTTTTTTCATGGTTACATCATCGTATACCAGTGTTTTTAAAAACAGAAGAAGATATACACGTAAGCAATTGTCTAGATTTTTACACATAGACTGTTTTAGAATAATTACTATTTTTGTTTTAATTATTTATCTTTAATTATTATTATTTATTTTGTTTTCATTACTATTAAATGTTTTTAGATTTGGCTAAATGAGGAGCTATCATTGGCTGAAGCTGCTAACAAATTATGTAAATTAACAATATCAGAAGGTGATTTGAGTTGGCATACAGTTTCGACTTTTGTAAACAATGTGACAAATAAAAGTAAAGACTGTAGAAAGGAGATAAAGGCTGGGTATATATATATATATATTTTTTTTTTTATAGCATCGTGCAATTAATGTTTCACTGATAGAATTATGAGCTGTTAATCCTGTCAAGTGACATACCAGACTATTGATTTACTAATTCTATTACGCACAGAGAGGAGAAAAAAAGTAACCCTAACACATTTATGGCTTCCTGGCTGAAGAAGGGGACTGTGGAAGCAGCTAAGCGAAAAAGCACAAATACCGATATTGACCGTAGCGGTGAAAATAAAAAAGATGATGAAAGGCCTTCGAAAATTACGAAAAACTAATTTTCATGCCGTCACCAGGAAACGTGATCGTTAATACTCGCTACCTCGATCTTTTATAATCTTTTATTTAAATTATTATATATATATTTTTTTATATTTTTCTACAACTGTACGTTATAGCTGTAACTATTTATTTTATTTTAGCAAAGCAATAAGAATAATAATTCTTCCAATGTAATCATCAGTATTATAATATAAAAGTATGCTTCTTCCATGCATTTTATAATTCGTTCTCTTTGTTCTCATTTATTCGTATATACAAAGATACGATGTCTGATATCAAATATCAGTAATAATAGCATCGGTAATATTAAGGGTAACTATGTAGTTTAAGATAGTCATCTCTCATTTCATTGATCTTGAATTATGTTGACAAGGTCATCATTCTGAACAACTTTCCTTTTCTATAAACGTAATAGACTCTCTCTCTCATAATCTAAAACATCCCCTTCAAATCGAATCTATGATACATTAAATTTCTATTCTTTATCTCTTCAACATTTTCGCGAATATCGAAAACCAAAAGAGAGCGCCCTAGATAGATAATTAAAATTGGAGGTGGTTCCCTTGAACTGCATATTTATCATAGTCAATAATTAGTAAAACACACAGTAAAAAAAATAAGAGAGTCGATCTATCGTAATAAGAAAAAGATGAATTTATTACCTAAAAGTTAGTTTCAAAAAATATAGAACGGCGTTTCATTTGGCGCTTCGGGACGCGCGTGCGCACCGTTCCCAAATATCTATACAGTATGGCGGCGATCGTCGGCCGGATCTCACTCGGCGGTAAAGGAGACGAAGAAAGAGAAAGAAGGGAGGGAAAGAAACTCTGGTTACCCGAAGATGTCAGCACGTTGACTCGTGTTTCGCGGTGGCAGCGGCGGTGAACGGGATCGGTGGTGGTGTGGTCCGGGTCCGAGTATAATCCGCGAGTGGGTGCAGTGTATACGGTAGAGAGAACCAGAGGTGTACACGTACGTCCTACGTGCGGGAGAGCTGCGGTGGTTGCTCGTTTTCGTCTCTCGTATCGCGGAGGCTGCCCTTCGCGAGAATCCGCGTCACGCATGGCACCGCTCAGTGCCTGAGACGCCTTTATCCCAGAGACAGAAAGAGCGAGATCGTGCGCGACCGGGGCCCAGCCTCTTCGCGTGCCTCGTCTCGTTTTACAGTTTCCGAGCACCGAAGAGACCGAGTCGCGAACGAGCCGACAGAATGACCAGCCAGGGGACGCGTGATCAAGGGATCAGCAACGTCGAGACCGAGTACCTTGAGATCAACTCGAAGGCAGCCTGGCCGATTCTCTTTCAGGTAAAGAGATCATCCGTCCTCCCTTCCTCTCCCCTTCCGCTTTTTCTGTCTTTCCTTCCGGTTACCGCGAGAAAGAAACCGACCGTTCCTGTCGCCGATGTGTCAGCCTGTTTCACACGGAATACACGACAATGTCGAATTGTTTCTCGCTGACACGACTTGCCAGTCGGCCTGCCATGCGTACACACGGAACAAAATATTTCTCTGTCCTCTATCGACCCGACTGTGTCGACGAAACGGAGGTTTATCGCGAATAATTGTTCGTGCGCGTTTTTCCTTCCTGGTCGAGCCACGAGCAGAGATTTTGCGCGATAATTTTCCACGCACGGGAAAAGGGTGTAACATGCCAAATGTTTACTTATCGCGATTCAATTGATTCGATGCAATCGTTCTGCTCCCGGTTGCGTTCGATTCCCCCTTGTAATTCCCGACCGGCAGCGTATTCGATTAATTTATGTTCTGCAAACGGATTTGATTACAACGATGCAATTCGATTCGATAGATAACGAGCCGGAATTCAACGGCCGTGTTTATTTCTTTATCACGTTCGCGCGCTCCCTTTCTCGGATATATTTTTATTACAATGCCTGGATTGTTTTAAATCGTGATGGGTATCGTTTCGTGTACGCGGAACGTGGTTTTCACGAGAAAACGTTAAGTGCTGCATAGAGTGTGTATTGTAATGCTATTGTCAAGGATGAATGTTGTGGTTCGCGATATAAATTCCAGGTATACGTTTAGTAGTTCTATTTCCGTTCGACGCGTATACGCGATTTGTTTACCGTATATACTAGATACAGGTTATTCAATTTTTTGATATCGGAGAAATGAAATGTTCATCTTTGCAGCATATACGTAATGAGTGCAGCAATTTTACATACACAAGCAATGAATCAAAGAAACCACAGAACAAGAATTTGAACCGTTACAGAGATGTTGCTCCGTACGATCATAGCAGAATTGTCCTTAAGAAGGGGATATGCGATTATATCAATGCCAACCTCATTCAGGTATGTATTACGACTAGACTTATAATTCTTATTCGATGGAACGATGTAAACGAGTAAGTTATTATTATAGGTTGATCGAGCACACAGACAATATATTCTGACTCAAGGACCATTGGAAAACACGGCTGGTCATTTTTGGTTAATGGTATGGGAGCAAGCCTCGAAAGCAGTGTTAATGTTAAATAAAATAATTGAAAAGAATCAAGTTAAATGTTATCAGTATTGGCCTCTTGGTGATTCATCGGATGATGCGATGACATTTATCGATGTCGGTATAAAAGTAGAATATGTCAGCAAAACGGAATCATCGGATTACACAACTAGAATATTGAAGTATGAGAGATTGAATTCATTTAATTAAAATATGTATGACCGATCGGTGTACAAAGAATTTAATACTTATGTTTCACACAGATTAACAAATTTGGAATCAAAAGAAAGTAGGGAAATACTACACTTTCACTATACTACTTGGCCAGATTTCGGTGTGCCACAGAGTCCAACAGCCTTTCTTCGTTTTCTGGCCGACGTCAGGCAATCAGGAGCATTAGATCAAAATGTTGGGCCACCGGTTGTGCATTGTTCCGCAGGTATCGGGAGGTCAGGAACATTTTGCTTAGTCGACACATGCCTTGTTTTGGTGAGTATTATTAAGTATTTATACATAACATGTCCATCCAAGTTATTAAAAGAGAAATCAAATTCCATTCAATTGCAGATAGAAGAAAACGGATTAAATTCTGTAAATGTTAGAGATGTATTGATCGAAATGAGAAGATCTAGAATGGGTTTAATTCAAACGCCGGAACAATTAAGATTTTCATACGCTGCTATCATCGAAGGAGCAAAACAATTGCCATCGAATAACGTGGTAACTAATACCAATTCACAGTGGTGCAGTGTTATTGGTTTTCTTGAGTGTTCGAATTGAAATAAGTACAAGATTTTTTCGAATTATACACATGTGGGGGAAATAACGTTATATATTTAACGAATTAACTGTGGTTTTAACAGCAAATCTAGTAAGACTGTACTACTGTGACGTGATACATTATTTGACTTTTACTAACGTGTACAACTTTTTGCAGAATGTTGATAACGAGATAGACACGAATCATTACGACGTAGTTAATAATATTAGCCATTCTCCGATCGAAGAAGAAGATGAACCGCCTCCTTTGCCACCTCCACGAGGTGAATCCTTAACACGTAGTATGATGGCGGATTTGACTTCAAATGCAACGACAAGAAACGGTAAGATCAATTAATTAAGGGGGTCTTCCCATTTAAGAAGGTCTGGTGATTTTTAAATAAAGATTAGATCAAGGATTACTATAATATATGATAAAAAAAGGCGTATTTCGGATATTAACAGAACTTCGATACGAAAGTACTGTTTCTTGACTCTTCTAAATGGGAATTACCCCTTAATAATGAACACAAAGTGTATAATTAGAAGTAACTTCTTCCGCATGTAATGATAGATGAATTAGGTGGACCTCCTGATAAACCATTACCCAGCGAGCCGCCAATTCAAACGGAAACATCCACTGCTGTGCCGCCTGCAAATTCGGCAATAATCACGAATAACGTACACGAGAACAATTCCGATGGTGTTTCAATACCTACCGAAACTACTAGCGACGGTGAAAACTCTTTGCAGACAAGTAGTCCTCCGTCCAGTCCAGATATGTAAGTTTTTTTATGAACGTTTCTTAAGAGGAAATCTTAATATCGTCGTTTCTTAACGATTTGTTTCTTCGATTTGAATAGGAAAAGCGAAATACGTCTGCGTCACAAAGAAAAGAAGGAACGTTTGGCAGCATATGTACGGGAAATCAAGCGTCGACAAAAGGAGACAGAAGAATGGCAAAAGCTCAAGAGGTCATTATTTAAGCCCCTTTCAATAGGCATAGGTGCCGCAATTGTTGGTGGGGGTATTCTAGCAATCTGTGGCTACTTGTACATGCGTGGTTAGGATCGAATTGTTTCCATGTCGCGCGTGTACAATAGATCTTTGAGCTGTCAGTGATACTAGGAGATTCGCACATTCAAGAATAGTTACTTTCACCACGAGATATTTAACAGCATTATAAATTGCACATGTCATTGCTTGTCGTCGTGAGAAAGGAATCGATCAGGGAGGAGAAGCATTCGGTATTACATAATTGAAAGCACCGAAAAGTGGTCCGAGAACGTACTGCAGTCAGTAACACAATTCATTCGAGTAGCAGATTTTGGAGAGAACAGTTGTCGGAGTAACGTTGGAAACGAAGTAACTTATTCTAAGGAAGTGCGTCTGTAAAGGATATTGTTGCACGTCAAAGATGCTAACGAGGAAATGGTTGAAAGGTTGATGACAAAAGGAGAAAAAGGGGAGGTCTTCAATTTGTATTTTTATATTGTGATTTACTCGATGAGTACGTAGAATATTAGACGGTTATACATTCTTTTAAAGATTCTTTTCATTAGGTTCCCTTGACAGTCGAAGTTCTTGGAAGCGAGTAGATTATTTCGTGCTCATGTTCCCAATTATGATGAAGGAATAGGAGGTGCATTGAGTCGGACATTTTTTTGTTGGCATTGTTAAATCAGAAATAAGTCTATCATTTGCACCTGGTGCTTGAAAAGGAAAAAAAAAAGAAAGAAACCTACGTAAGGGTCTAAAAGAAGCGATGAGTCAATGCCTTCTTACTCATACGTCGTAATAACCGTAGGCTTTCATATACGATAGACATTATAACGAAGTGGGTGCACGGACGTTTCTCAGTCAGCCAGCTTAATTATTTGCTTTCTAATACAGAGACGTAAACAAGTATTACTTTTATCGTGTCTAGATTTTAGTTCCCTCTATTTATCTGATCAACTTCGCCAAACGATATTCGGAGTTTAAAGACGAACACGAGCGAGGTCTCTCTTTGATTTCAACGGTTTCCAAATGAATTCGATGTATCGTCAGTAATTGTCCAGGGTATCAAAATCGTTCGCTTAAGAGTTTTACAAGCACCCGATCACTTCGCTTAGACTCTAATGAAATATATTCGTGATAGACGTAGAGAAATGTTAACGATTCTAACTATAGTACACACAGTGAATGTTTTTTAACTAACTTGCCCGACAAAGTAGAATCCAATCTTCTATTAGAATATCCTCAAAAAAAAAGGAGATACTATACTACAACTAGCATAAGCCATACCAATGACATACCATGGCCCATTCTATACGTTGGACATGCTGTTTCTTTCAAATTATCGCGATTTTCATTCGACACTTGTTCCTGGGGCTATGAGTAAAGAGGTATACTTCTGACTTTCTCTCTTCCTTGAAGGAACGCCGGCTACCGAGATATAATTCTGTTAACTGGCAACTCGTGCCTTCGATTGTGTACTTGGTAATAACATTTCGCAGACTTTCACAAAGAAGCTCAATGAGAAGATCATGAATATGGAACGAACTCTTTGAACGCATTCCTGGTACATATATATATATATACATACATACAGAGGAAGAGATTAGTAACGAATTTCATTGCGAGTAATTAGCGTCAACCGGGGAGGAAACGAAAACGTTTCGATTAAAACGGAAGCTTGGAAGGTGCTCATCGCGCATTCCTTGCGTTTCAACATTGTAACACAGTGGGTGCCAAACGGAGTTAGAAGCTAAACGATAAATTTTCTACAACGTACGATGAGTAGACACGCATGCGTTCAAAATGCCTTCGTTCGACCTCGATTAGTTTCTGGGACTGTTCAGCACCGTCGCTACGGATAATATCGGAACGACATCCGGTCGAATCGAGACTAAGTGCATCCAACTAAATGTACAATCGACTAAATTACGAGAACTAGTTATTGTGACGATTCGACGTAGGAACTTCCTCGCAAACATGAACTCAGCACTGTGTACAACCTACATTCGATAGAAGCCCGATGCCGATGCCAGATACTCCGTATCCGAACAGCCGTGCGAACAGACATTGGAAACTAATCGAATCGATGGGAGGAGAACAAGTTGAAGGAAGCATCTATTTCATGATCGCCGTTAGTGGGCTTAATTTTATACACTTTTAAAACACCTTTTTAAAGCATTTTTCTACGCAAACAACTTGGAAAACCTCACCGTCGCGCTACGTAGAGATAGTAAAGGAGAGACAGAGAGGGGTTTGTTGAAAAGGAAACATTCTTCTAAAGTACTATTTCCGACCGATTTGCTCAATGGGTATACAAAGCCATTGGGCATCGCAGAAAGACTGAATACGTCTAATTGCTTTTTAGAGAGGATCAGGTTAAGAAAGAAAGAAAGAAAGAAAGGAAGAAAAACAATTCAAGTACGCGTTAAGCATGTATTATTAAGCTGAGCTGCTACGTAAGTCACACGGTTTACTAAGCTCGCGTATAAGTAGATACTTGTGTCGGGTCGTGTTACAAAAAAAAAAAAAAAACAGAACAAAATCGTCTCGTTGGGAGGGTAAAGGGGGATGCAGTTCGCGTAGAGAGTCCGCGCGGCGCGAACCAATTGTATTTTGTACTTTTGTACGTTGCTAGCTCTAGGTTGGAATACGATCTTTGCTAAAACAAACAAACAAACAGAAAAAAAACCAAGAAAAGTCAAAAAACAAAATCGGGGTTCTCGGGTAAGCTGCATTCATAGTCGCGTCGATCGCGTTCACGGCGCGACACGATTCATACCTTCGAAGCAGGTTGGGCCAGCGCGAACGTTCCGAGTTGCCTCGCAGAGCAATGGGACAACAAGTGACGTCAGAGCTCTGCGGAGGGGCGGGCGTACCGTCAATTTTGCGAGTACGACAGCGCCGTGCGACAGGAGAGACGGAGACGGGGAGGATGGCTGACGAAACATCGCGTCCTTTTTGTAATCTGATACGTCTCGTGTAGTAAATCAGGCCCGTCTATACCTTTTTTCGTCTATCTTGTTCTATACCGCGTGGTCTGTCCTATTCCGTTGCTCTCGCAATGGACACACACACACACACACACACACATAATGTATGTTATAATATAAATGATATTATAATTCCCCGCTGGTCCACGGGGCGGCGAGCTCTGGCCATGCCTGCTTCGGGGACACCACATGTTCCATTCGAAGCGATGTTACGTATGTTCGAACGTTAATACAGTATTCTGTCGTTGGTACCGTCTATCTGTGTGTGTGTGTGCACCATTTATCTCTCGTTACCTGATTTTCTGCCTAGAGCGTGTTTTAGACGATTAGGCGTGTGCGATCGGAGCAGCTGCATTATTTTGCAACTCGAGCCAACGTAATATATAGCGTGTCGAACAATTAGCGAGGCGCGGACCGCGCGAAAAACCGCTCTCGTTCTCCTAAGCTATGGAACGCGAACACGTTCGCGCGCCGTGTCGAGGGGCGCGGTCGTAGACCGGAAGCTTCTGCGTGTGAACTTTCTGGAAAGTTGTTTTTATCGACGAGCCAGCGAGCGGACAAATGTAAGCCCATTTACTTGAACGTCGCGCGTCATTGAATAAGCCGCGTTTGGCTTTCGGTTAACGCGACGCTTCGATTCGAAGAGAGAGAGCGAGAGAGACAGAGCGCGCGAGAGACAGTGAGAGAAACAGCGCGCGAGAGAGTGAGAGAGACAGCGCGCGAGAGAGACAGAGTGCGTGAGAGAGAGCGCGCGAGAGACAGAGTGCGTGAGAGAGAGCGAGAGAGACAGCGCAAGAGAGAGAGCGCGCGCGAGAGAGAGAGATCAAGGCGTGTCCGTGCATTTTCAGGACTTACAAATCTTGCCAGTATTAATGCGTCCGCAGGTCCCTGACATAACCGGGTTCAATATCGTCGCGTTTTGGAACCTCGAACCAAGATCAGGCCGATCGCTTCTCTCGAGGACTCTGCAAATTATGTACTCGCCAGTAGGTTTTCCATAGATCGCTCTATCGGAAACGTTTCGCACAGTATTATTAATCGCACGTTCGACGACGCCGGGCATACATACTCGCCGTCTACCAAAAAACAAAGCTCGGCTCGCATACTTTTTTGATCATCGGGCGCGCGCGCGCGCTTGCATACGTTTCGAGGCGTTCAGTTTCGCAAATTGAATTTCAATCCGCTACCATTTCGCGAAAATCGTAGAGCCACCGATGCGACACGGAACGTAACAAAGTATAATATCGCGGTTGCCGAATACAGTAATGTCTCCCTAATTGACGCTCAGATCGTTCACAAAAATGGACAATTCGGGAAGAGGAGCCTTGCGACTCGTTTTTATAGTTATCGATTTTCAGTAATTATAAAAACGAGCTACAGGGCTATGTCAAGGTTATGTCAAGGTTATCTGGGATTGTCCTCAAAAATGGACAATTTGGGAAGAGGGACCTTGGGAGTTCGAGCCTTGCGGCTCGTTTTTATAGTTACCGATTTTCAGCAATTATAAAAACGAGCCGCAAGGTTATGTCAAGGTTATCTCAGATTGTCCACAAAAATGGACAATTTTGGAAGAGGAGCCTTGCGACTAGTTTTTATCGTTACCGATTTTCAACGATTATAAAAACGCGCCGCAAGGCTGTCGAATAATCGTATCACCTTTTCTCCAAATTGTCCATTTTTGTGGACAATCCGAGCGTCAATTAGGGAGACATTACTGTACCGATTGCCGAAGAAACTTGTACTTTTCGAAAGGAGGAGGATCGCTCACATCCAGAAGCTTCTAACGGTGTGGCGGAAACGAGCGGAAACGTCGCGTCGAATCAATTCGGCGAACGATCTCGCGAACGAGATCGTTAAATCGCACCTGGAACGACTCGCAACGAAGGCGCGGTTACACGCGGTCACCCTCGGTTTCCTAGTTTGTTGTTCGTGCGACTGTTCAGAGAACAGGATGAACGTTCGAGGAGAGAATGTTCACCCTGGTCGCTCCTGTAGGACGTTGATTAGACGGGAGACTTCCGGAACGGTGCGAATGAGAGGGAGAGAGAGAGAGAGAGAGAGAGAGAGAGAGAGAGAGAGAGAGGACGACGGAGCGCGAGAGAACGAGAGAGAGAGAGAGAACGACGGAGCGCGAGGGAACGAGAGAGAGAGAGAGAGGACGACGGAGCGCGAGAGAACGAGAGAGAGAGAGAGAACGACGGAGCGCGAGGGAACGAGAGAGAGAGAGAGAGGACGACGGAGCGCGAGAGAACGAGAGAGAATCCGCGAAAGACACGGTGCTAATTGAAAGTTCCAAGAAAAGAATCTGATATAACGTTCACGCAAGCGTGTGCACGCGCCGGAGAATCGGAGGTAGAGCGAGAGAGAGAGAGAATGGAAGAGAAAGAGTGCGAGCGTGAAAGCGGAGATCGAACGTGTGAGAGTGTGATGCGAGAGCGAAAGAAAGAAACATAAACAGAGACATAAACGTAAACAGCGTCGATCGTAAGATTTCGAGAAATTTGAAATGTTCGAAACCGGTCGCGATTCGTGATCGACCGATAGTTTTACTTTTCAATCGAAAATCGGACGATCGAACTCGGAACACACCGGAAACCGTACGGCGAAGAGGAATATATGCTGGCTTTTGTACGCAATTTTTGTTCGTTTCCTACGCACCCGATAATCTGACCGTCGTGTACAATAGACATATAAACGTTCTAATCACATGGAACCGCAGAAACATAGTTAAGTGCCTACACGTACGAAAGCAAGATAAGGAAAAATGAGAAGAGAGAAACGAGAGAGAGAGAGAGCGAGAGAGAGAGATAGGAAAAGAGAGAGCGAGAGAGAGAGATAGGAAGAGAGAGAGAGAGCGCGCGCGTGAGAGAGAGCGCGCACGCGAGAGAGAGAGAGAGAAAGAGCGCGCGCGAGAGAGAGAGAGCGTGAGAGAGAGAGAGAGAGAGAGAAGGGTAGAAAAAGGGAACCGCAGTGAAATAATACGACCGTTAGTAGCATTAAACGATTACTATACTGTAATTATAATAACTATACGCAACCCCTTGACCTTGCGGAAGAGCGTAGTGACACATCGAGCAAGCGAATCCTTTATTACCCGACAATATATAAATAGATAATCGTTCCAGTAAATCTATTATCGACTCTGATCGCCAAGACCCAGATATATCGGACCACGAGGTGCAACGGATTCGCATTTCCGGTGATGGCGGCGGCCGTTTCTCGCTCCGCCCATTATCGGCAAGGCCGGCGGTAGTAGGCCAGCCTTTAACTATGAACTATTTTATCGCGGAAGTGAGACCGCGCTTTTTTAACCACGCTAAACGGACATTGTAGTTTAGTAGAACGAAAAGACTGACGGCGAGGCCACCGGGAGAAGTAGCATTGAAGAAGAAGCATTGCTTTACCGGCGA